TATAGTAATTTATGATTTGTAGTGAGTTTTATACCGCATCTAAACGATTTCTTCAGTTTATTTCAATGAAATACTGAAAAAAAGAATAATAATAAGAACGACTATTGACCGTGTGCTAAACTCGGCATACCGGTGTTGTGTGGAAGCAAATGAACAGTTACTCAGCACAGGCGCAAATGAGGAATCAGGGGAGGCAAATTAAAAAGGGCCACACGTCCACGGGTGTCCACGCTCATGACCTACATTTGAAAAGCGACGATTTGTCGCCATCTAGCGCGAAAAACGAAGCAGCGCAGAGACTCGACGCTGGGCTCGTGTTGTGCAAACTGGGCTAACATACTTCTAAACGCCAGGTCTCCAGGTAGCAGCAGCAGGAACGATTCTCCCACACTGATCGATTCATATCACCGGCATCTGACTGATAGCGCTGTGTTTGCAGCATACCGGTGACGTCATCAGCAGGCGACTTTATTTACTTCTGGTCCAGTTAGCCGCCGCCGCCGCTGCTGCTGCTGCTGCTGCTGCAATGGAAGTAAACAGGGACGAAGCGGAGCGCTGCATTGACATTGCAACTGCGGCGTTAAGTAACCACCAGCCGGAGAAGGCGCTGAGGTTCCTGGAGAAGGCGCAGAGGCTCTTTCCGACAGAGAAAGCCAAGGGTAAGTTAAAATGGCCGAGCTGAGGCGAGAAGAGGGGACCGCCTGAGCCGGGGAGGTGCGCAGCATCATCACCTTCAGCATCACCTGCATCCCGGATTAGCAGCGGATGGAGCCGGGGCCTGGTGTAGCTTAGCCGCTAGCTGTCTCATATCAGCTATCAAACTGCACCTTATTGAGTAGGAAATACACCTGCTTAAAAAAAGATGTTTTTTTTTATGGTGTCAGCAATAATTGACATCATTTGTTTTTTTTTTAATAGAAAGCAAATCCTAGAAAGAATAGGAGACAGACACTGAGTCCTGGATGGCAAAGATTCCTTCACTGCAGCTTTCCATCACTCGCTTTATTAGTTTGACAACACAAGGAGCAAACGATACAACAATACACATGCACATGGCACAGCAATATAATATATTTTCTCTCTATTTTCTTTATATGCCACATTTAAAGTGCTTTCCAGTAGAAAAATGAGATTGTGTCACGAATCAAACAAACAAAATATTGAGCTTAAGATCCTACAGTATTATTTGTGGTGTGAATTTACCCGAGTAATTAAAAAAAAATAAGGATAAACCCCATAAAAATGATATAAAATGCAGCTTTATCTAACTATATGAATAAGGCCATATAATATTATTAATTATGGAGGTTAGCCTAACTAGTGTAGAAATAAAGCTGTCTGACATCACGATAAATGATTCCACCAACAACCCATAGACCTCCTGGATTCCATTTAAACAAGCTTAGTTATTTATTTTAGAACATTTGCACAGAAAACATACAGTCACACACACACACACAAAAAAGCATGTAGTGTTTGTGGCTTAATATTAATAATAATACTAATAGTACTAATACTAATAATAATGATGATAATCTTTATTTATAGAGCACTTTTAAATGATAGGCTGCTCATTTTCAGTGTGTACAAGCAAACAGCCTCACTTCCAGCTGCTTAGAAATTACCAAGGGCGTTCCACAGGGGTCGGTTCTAGGACCACTCCTCTTTATCATATAGATAAATAACATCACTGATAATGTTTCCAATGCCAATTTTTATTTTTATGCAGATGATACTGTGCTATACGCCTCAGCATCCACACCAGAACTGGCTCTATCCCAGCTGCAAATTGCTTTTAATATTGTCCAGTAAAATTTCTATTACCTAAAACTTGTTTTAAACCACAGAACCTGCCTGCAATCACCTCTTCTCAGGGAGTACAGATTGAAATAGTGTCTCAGTACAGATACCCTGATGACTGTCTCTCTTTACCACCTCACATCCAGCAGCTGGCATAGAGACTAACATTGAAACTGGGTTTTTACTTTAGAATCAAGTCTTGCCTGTAATTTGAGGCCAAAAACAGACTTGTTACAGTATATATGAATGCTTCCGCTCAAAGCCTGAGTGTTTTAGATTCAGTTTATCACAGCGTTTTAAGGTTTATCACCAATTTCAAGTCTCTTCCTCATCATTGTTTGTTGTACTCTCGTGTTGGATGGTCAGATTTGACCCCACAAAGAAAAAAACACTTGCATGTTTTAATTTATAAATGTATTTTAGGCTTGCTTCCTCATTATTTACAGGTTTTTATTTGTACAAAAGCTCCAAGTGGTTACCGTCTGTGGTCCCAGGATCTACTGCTGCTGTCTGTTTTTAAATTTACTGCTCCTTCTACCTGGAACATTTTACGAAAAGACCTGAAACTTCAAGAGCTGGTTTCTTTAAATACTTTTAAAGCATTTATAAATGACTTGGAGGCAAAAACATCAGTCTGTAGATGTTTAGACAGATGATTATTTTGCTGGTTATGTTTCTGATCTCTGCTGATATGTTGATTTCTTATCTTCTAAATGTAATCTCACCGTGTATTATGATGTCTGTGGATGCTGTTGTGACCTCATCTGTCTGTCTGTTGTGCTGCTTCTTGTCTTGGTCAGGACACAGCCTTTTCCTGGTTAAATAAAGGTTTATCTATTTTAGATGATTACGCTTGCTGAGCTTAGTATTGCAACTTGATATTTAGGTTTTCAGTCTGAAATAGGGTGGCATTTGAATTTTAATGGATATAAGTAAGTGGTATGGGTCAAGGTCAGACATGTTTCCATTTTTGATTTGATTCTTGAAATCTAGATTTAAAGGACCAACAACAGAAAACATACAGAGCCTACAACAACACCTAGATATTACTGTAGAAGTCAACGGCAAAGTTTGTATTCTGACAACGTCCATAAAACCCTCATGAAGATGTTAGAATCTAATCGTCTGTCCAACAAACGTTATCTGTCTGCTGCTATGACCACCGACAGTATTTGCTGCAGGACCTGCCGGGTTAATCATCAGCTGCAATCTTTAAGCTGTTATTGAATACTTTGCTCACTGAATGTTTCTGAATGTTCACAACATCTTCTGTCCACTAGTACTGCTGGACCTAATAGCAAAGAATGGATTCACACCCAGACAAGGTGGCCACCCAGACGCCAGCGGGGTATCGGGGCCTCGACAGCGGCAGAACACCAGTGAAGATACCAGACCCGAAGAAAAACCTTCTGACACCTCAAAACCCTACACGGCAGACCAGCTCGAGTCTGTCAGAAGGTATACGTGACGTTTTATTGGCGTATTTTCAGTGTGGTGGTCCGACGTTCCTAATCGTGTGTTTTCTACGCAGGGTAAAACAGTGTAAAGACTTCTATGAAATCCTTGGGGTCCAGAAAGACGCCTCTGAGGATGAACTCAAAAGATCGTATAGAAAACTTGCTTTGAAATTCCATCCGGACAAGAATCACGCTCCGGGTGCAACGGAGGCGTTTAAAGGTAACCTGCAGAAAAACCTCAGTTAGAAGCTGTATTTTATTCTATCGCTGTGATTCCTGAACATAATTTGACTTCACATGTGCTCATTTCCAACAGCCATTGGCAACGCGTACGCTGTTCTGAGTAACGTTAACAAAAGACGACAGTATGATCAGTGTGGGGATGAAAGAAGGCATCCGTCCAGACACAGCCCAGGCAACGGGAACTTTGAGCCAGACATCTCCCCTGAGGACCTCTTTAATATGTTCTTCGGAGGCGGTTACCCGTCAAGTTAGTGTCACTGGTTTGTCTTTTTCCTATACGGGATACAGAATACAGTGTGATGCATCTATGAAGTGCTAAATGTGCTGATTAATGCAGGTAATGCTCACGTATACACGAATGGACGGATGCGTTACCAAAGGCGAGAGAGAAGAGAGAGACAGCGGGATGTAAGTTTCATACCATCAGAGTTTAAATGTTCAAATGATGTAGTTTGATGTGCTAACCAGCAGGGGGAGACTTTTAGTCATCAATCAGCAATATTCAAGTGTCTTTGTTGTGTCTAAGCACGTCTGATGTGTTCTCTTGCAGGGAGGTCTTGCTCTCTTTGTACAGGTTATGCCCATCCTCATCCTGGTCATCGTGTCGGCTCTCAGTCAGATAATGGTCAACAACCCGTCCTACAGCCTCAGCTTCAGGCCGTGAGTGTTTGACCCCCGTCCTGGAAGTCCGCTTAAGAAGGATATTAAAGAACACAACTAACCTTGTTCTGCAAAACTGCAAAGGACTTAAGATTATCTTCATATTACATACAGTTCAGCAGGATTGAACCGGAGTTTATGTCACGACTCTTATGTGTTCTGCTTTCATAAGCTAGAGGGAAAAGAACCAGCTTTGCTTTCACAGTGTTCACAGTGATGTCACCTCCTTAGACAGGCTCCCTGTATTGAAATTTCACTTTCTTGTTTGATTTAGAAAGAACATGTTGATGCTGCCTCAGTTGGTTCTAAATAATCCCAGAACCCTTCAGTGTTTGCTGGCTCCGCATGTCTGGCTGCTCTCCACGTTAGCTGCCTTTTGTGGTTCAGATCTTTAGCTTGTGGCCCGTCTGTGAGCCATTATCAGCCGCCAGTCACTTTAACAGAGACAGACGGTGCCAGGTCTGTCTTACGATATCTCTCCCACACTTGGTTCTGTCTTCACGACAGGTCAGCAGGTTACTCGCAGAAGAGGCTGACCGAGAACCTGAAGGTGCCGTATTATGTCGGGGAGCAGTTCTCCAAAGAGTTCACCGGCGTAAATTTGAAAAACTTGGAGCAGACGGTGGAGGACGATTATATTTCCAACCTTCGCAATAACTGCTGGAAGGAGAAACAACAGAGTACGTTCTCCGGGAAAACGCTTTTTTTTTTTTGTTGAGATTTTGGTTTCCCCTCACGTTTCTCTCATTGCTTTGTTTCTGTGGTTTCTTGCAGAGGAAGGCATGTTATACAGAGCTCGCTATTTTGGAGACACCGATCTGTACCAAAGAGCTCAGAGGGCTCGCACGCCAAGCTGCGCCAAGCTGTCAGAGATCACGGCTTCATTACATGGATGAGGATGCTTTCATGATTAAAAGCAAGTTTCCCCGCCTCAGGGACATATTTTGTAGAGACCAGCCAAGTGTGTAGCTGCACTTCACAAACTAAAAATGCATCTTTTTTTTCTTCTCGTCTCCAGGTTTCAAGAATCACCCCAAAAGATTACAGGCTGTAAATAGATAAGCTTTAACAATCTGGAGGCTGACGATGACTCAACAAGCAACACGAACAAACCAGCACCACTCCTCACCAAACTGACAACACAAACCGGTCGAAGCCATTTCTGTGGAAGTTTTAGTCTGTGAAATTCAAATATAATGATATTATATTGTTTCATATGGAAAAGCCACTTCACACGTCTTGTCCTCCTGGCAGGGTGTGAGTTCGAATAACCTCAAAGTACCAGTTCCGACTGGCAGCCATGAAGCTGGCATGGGTCACTTCACCTTGGTTTTTGTGAGAATGCAGTATGAAACCAGAGCATAGTTAACTTATATATAGTCATACAGATGTCATTTATGTAGCAGTTTAACAGATACCACATTGAATGCTTCCTCCTTATTTTTTATGCAGTCGGATCAGTGGGGTAAAAAAACAAAAAACGATTTACTGATTTGACTTCAAATGCACATTCTCAAACTATGCAGGAATATTGTGGAACCTCTGATGAATATTCACTCACGTCTAGGGTTTGTCAGACACTTGAACACCTGAGATCTGTCTTTTTCTGCCGTGTGTGTGTGTGTGCGCTACCAGTTAGAATACGTCCCCGTCACTCTGCTTCCTTTAGTTGTGTTAAGGACAGAATTATACGGTTTAACTTCACAGTAAATGCCAAGAGAGCGAGACATGTGCCTACCCACAACGTGGGACGTTAACAGGTTCTGGTTTTGGAGTCTCTGATGAATCTCATCTGTTGGAAAAAAAACAAAAATACAAAAAAGAAAAGAAGCAATTTCTGTCACACTTTCTAAGTTTATAGTATGCTATTTATTCTTTGTATTATTTATTTATTTAAGGAATAGATCTTGCTCACTTTTTCCACCATGTTTTTACTCCCAGATGAAAATAAATATGGATGCTTGAACGTGTTGAATGTGACTCGTTGCTCTGAACAGTACAGAGGCGGGCGGCGGGGGGGACAAAAGCTTAGTCAGCACATTCGGCGCATGGAGTGTGCCGGCCGGCCGGCTTACTGAGACCAGGAAAACATGTCTGCCTGCACGTTCACATTGCAGAAGAAGTGAAGGCATGTGCCGGGCAGGAAACGCAGCGTCACATTTGTTCGTCACAAAAGCACTCAGCTGTTTTGGACGGATGTTGCACTTCTGCTTTCTGATCTGAAGTTGTGGGTTTGGGTTTTTGTGCAAACTGCACACTTTTTCTTCGGCTTTGAAACTTTCCAGAGTTTTTGTGCACGCTGAGGCTGGTAGGGGCAGGCTCGCTCCTGTCAGCTGACATGTCACACAATCCAGTACAGCTGCTGGGCAATAATTTCTACTTTTATAAAGTTTTACAACTTCAGTTTTCGTTGACACTGACAAAAAGGTGAAAAGGTGTCGTGGCGGGTGGGTGATGGTGATGGGTGGTTGATATGTGTGATAATGCCTCCATCATGCATCCATCACCAACTGCAACCTCAGTAATTAACATGAAAACAGGATTATCATCTTATTAAGTCAACAAAATTGAAAATGTACAAGCTTCCTAGAAGTAGAGCTGCATTGGATTGCGTTAAGATTTCACAGGTTTACCAAAAGTTTTCCAGAACTTGATTCTGTTTTCCAGCTTTGCCTGATTTCTGTAGGAAACCTGAGTCTGAATGAAGGAGTCTGGACATCACATTATGTCAAAAAAAAGACAACAGAAAGTAGATTGTTAAAAAATAATAATTTATTTGCGATCATGAAAGTACAAAAACAGTGCAATGTTATGAGTATTTGAATATCAAATAAAGTTGAAAGCGGGACTGGTCTACACAGATACAGAATCAAACCACATTTGAAGTCTTTGCTTGCACATATGCTGCACAACGCAAGGTACTGGTAGGCCTTCACGTTTGAACTGAAGCGCTCACAAAGGTCCTCAGCGCTTCTCTGGGCGTACAGTTCATCAGTTTGTGTCCGATTCGTTTAATGGTCATGTATAGAAAAAGGAAAAGAAAGAACACAATGGTCTTCAATGACTATAACAAGATAGCTAGCTGCCGTTTTATGGTTTCAATAGAAACTGAGGTACGCACTTTAATATTTGCAAAATACCTATTTGCCATATATAGCATGATGATTACACTTTGTAATGTTGAAAATCTGAATCTCAGCGAGCAAGTGTGAAAGCAGCACCTGCTCCTGGTACCATAAACTTCAGCTCCTGTACATGAGGAACAACAGGCTACATCATGACAAAGTCCATCCTCACGCCTCAGAAGGCATCGTATACATGTAGTTATACTAGTAAGGCCCTCCTGTGAGCTTTTACTGTCGCTTCACGGACTAAAACACAACAGTCCCCTCGCACGTCTCAACATTCTTCGATAAGCAGCTCTTCAGAAGAATACAGCTTCTTCTTGATCACGCGGAAACCAGTGCTCAGTTTGATAGCTTGTCTCACTACTGGAGTGGAAGGAGACTTGCTGAAAAGTCCTTGGATTTTGGGCCACAGGCCGCCCGACTCGAGCCTCAGCACCAGAGTGAGCTGAAAGGTGGGCACGAGGTAGGGGTCCACAGATAGCTGTCCCATGCTCTCACAGACGGCCCCTTGCTCCACACAGAGGTCGATGAGAGCCCCCCTCAGACCGCAGGGCTCACTAGCTGCCAGGTGAAGGAGCTCCTGCCCGATGTGCTCGAGAAGTTTCTCAGGAATGAGCAGTTTGGTACATCTCAAGGCGCAGTCCGAGTCTTTGGCTTCTCTTAAGCTCCGCGCTATGAGGTTCACCACTTCTTTCAGGATCGTTTCCTCCATCGGATCGTAGAACAGGTCGTCATTAAAGGGATACAGGTCACTGGAGAGGTCTGACCCTGCAGGAGAGACACGGAGGGTTAGAACTCATGCATGCAACTGGAAGAAAGCCTCAGACGAACGATGACACATGTTTGCAAGCTCAGCTCACCTGATTCTGAGAGATCACTCCTGCTGCCGTCGTTGGACACCGACTCAATGCTGCTGCTGTTGGCAGATGTGTTGAAATCGGTCAGTCTCTGGACCAGCTTGCCCCAGGACATCCTCCTGGGGCTGCTGTCCACCGGGGAAGGGGGTGAGCTGCCAATTTCGGTGGGTGCAAAGAGATCAGGCATGGTTGTCCTCTGCAGTGTTCAACAGGATCAGCTGCTTCTGTGGGCAGCTGTTCAGGAGGAAACAAAGGCAACAGATAAGCACTCCGCTTCTGACATTTAAACTGTGTTCAGCAGTCAAATAAAACACAAGTGACAGGCATTTATGAAAAATATATATGAACAGCAAACATTTGGAGCAAGATCATCTTTCATTTGCAGCTGTTTCTTTGTTAAAAACATGAATGACGCAAGCAAAAATGGAAAATTCAAACACGGTACTTACAGCTTATTTGGAAGAGATGCAGATGGAGTGTGTTGTCGCTGCTGCAGATGAGTATCTGGAAGGTTATTGTCTGCAAAAACAACTGTCTGGAAACTTCTGTCCCCAGCCTTCCTTGTTTGCCTCTCACCAGCTGCCAAGCTCTGCAGTCTGTCCTGCAACAATGTTTATATATGAGCCCCGAGGCCACGCCCCCTCCGCTGCAGCCAGCCAATCAAAAAGAGAGGCACGCCACCCGAGCTGTATCTTGCCTGGTAACCTGCCAGCAGAGAAAGACAGACAAACAGGAGGAGGAGGAGGAGAGATGAGGGGGTTGGGTTGATGAATAGCAGCAGCCAGTGTTGTGGATATGCACGGGGACATGTGTGGGCTTGCAAAGGATCATATTGTGTTTTCTTTGTTTAATATCTGGCATAAGAACTGGTCGGTTTCTCTGCTGTAGCTGCAGCTCCACCAGCACAGAGTGAAAGTCCAGGCAGGGCCGGGCTGCTGCTGCTGCTGCTTGCTCAGTGTTGCAGTGCACATTACGTCACCTGTTTTTGCTGAAGCATTACATCAGAATTTTTTATCTGCACACACAGAGATGCAAAAAAACAGCACACAGTCGGCTGCATAATAGAACACCGGGTACACAGTACAGCATTCATAAAGGATGGTTTACGGCTACGAAGATGAGACACCTCTTGTTATGTGCCCCAAAAAAAAAAAAAAAACACGCTGAGAAATAGGAATACAAGTAATTCTCTGGTGTATAATAAAATATATTCTGCTGGCAAAACATGCTTTGAGGCATAAAACAAACACGAGAATTAAAAAAAGAGTAGATTTCTGAGAATAAGTTAAGATGAAATGTTGTTGCAGGGTTTCACTTTAGGCCACACTGAACATAAACCACAGCTTCAACCTCAAAAAAAAAAAAAGAAGAGTTTGGAAAGCAGCCAGATATACGCTGTGCTGCTACACGTGAGGAGGCGTGGGATAGACTGTACTTTGTTAGGGAGGAACTGAAAGACATAAACACGTGTAGGCACAGTATGTTCTGTGGGGGGATGTTATAAATTAAGAGTCATCATCAGATAGGGGGACGGAGGGGAAAAAAATGTTTACGAAGAATGCAGGCTGACTATTAAATTCTTCAGCGGCTTATGCAAAACAAAAAAAACTGAAAAATGCTGCAGGCGATAAGTTGCCAAATGGATTCTTAGAAAGTGCGTCCCACAACTGTTGAACTCTTGGAAAGGGAAATGTAAGCTCCGTCCCTGGGCGTGTCTGCTGATGTCCAGGGCCATCCTTAAACATTTACACCCAGAACAGTACATTCTGTTCATTCCCACCCTTCACTTGTTTGAAAACACCGAGGAAAACACAGATCTGCACGTTTCCTCCCTGACCGCACAAAAGAAGAATGACTCGCATCGATGGCTTTCAGACTTCAGATCGTTCAAGTGACAAGAAAACGACATTTTCAGCGTGAGAAGTGAACTTGAAGTGATTAAGAAATATTCAGATATCCCTGAAAAGAACTCTGCAAAGTGAACAAACGATCAGGCAAAAACAAACAGCAGGCAGAGCAAAGAATGTCCAAGTATGACTTTATTTACAAGCTCTCTTTGTTTTGCTCCAGCGAGCAGCGGTGGAGGCCGACGGAGAGAGGAGGAGGAGGAGGAGGAGGAGGAGAGGCTGGTGAGGAAGCAGGGTTTCAGATTTATGAGCGCGGTGCATCCATGTGGAAACACAATGCTTCACTTCAAGGGATTTATTACCAAAGATATTATTTGCCTTTACATCGAGGCTGATAGCACATTGAAGTGACAGGATCGCCTTCAACACCCTAAAGCAGACGGAAAATCTGCTGATAATCTATTATAAAATGTTAAAATGTGCAATTTTTAATATACAAGAAGATTTCTGTTGACGAGGGTGTGTTCAGTGCGCTGGGTCGGATACAACAAGGTGTCGTTTCTTTTCAAAAACGCAAACACACAATAGTAAAAGTGACAAAATAATACATCTCACATTCTCCAGATAACATTTTACATTTAAGATATATAATAATCCCAGGAAGAGGGACCATCATTTACGAGCTGAAATAAAACATCTCCTTCCGTTTTCATTCTATTTGGCTGGTTTATTCACCAAAGGCATCCGTCTGTTTAGGACGGTGTAAACCCCAGTAGCTGTTCGATCGGCTTGTACCGCCACTCGTCTGCTTCCAGCTCCTCCACCAAGCTCGCAAGTTTCTCCATCCGAGACACTTGTTGATCTGAAAAGAACACACAATAGGATATTCATTCATGTACCGGATATCAGTGGACCAACCAAAGCAAACACATTTTGCATAATGCAGGTGCCGACGTACCGTGTTTAACCTGTTTCAGCGTCGAGGCGACTTGGTAGCTGAACACAGACTCGCATAAAAATCTGTCGGAACCGTCTAAAAAAAGAAAAATAAAGATGGTGGTAAGGATTTGTATAAAAGACACACACACAAGGCTAAAAGTCAAAACAGAGCAAGCATTATGGAAATGGAGCACTCAGAGTTTTGAAATGTTTGAAGCACTAACGGCACAAAAACAGGAAAACAAAAGAGAACAGCTTCAGATCTTCAGGAGCGCTGCACTCTTACTCATCACTGTGTTTGTCGTCTCTAACTGCAGCACTCAACGCTTTTAACCCAACTAACCACATTAAATAACGTCTCTGGAGCTGGACCAGCACCAAAGAATGAGTACAGAACCACAAACAAATCCTATGTGTGGGGGATTTAAAGAGCTGAGGGCTGACGGCTGGGGTTGAGCAATCAGTTTCAAATGTGATTGCAAACAATGCAACTGGTTAATCACAAAGGCTGCAATTTATGATATATATATATATATATATATATATATACATATAATGCAGCACATCTGATTACAAACTCACGCTGTTCTCCTTGTGTGACAGTCATGCTTTTGATAGCACCTCATGTGGAAATGCTCCAAAACACGTTTCAAATCTGCTACTCGGTAAAATATTCAACAGATTTTTGACTTTAAACGATCATCACGAATAAAATCTTAATTGCAAAATCTGTCAGAAAACTGCAATTAGACATTTTTTTTCCCAAACAACTGGCTTCAGTTATGGCAGAAATGTCTTGTTAAGATACTGCCAGTGTCAGCTCTTGTATAAAACAGCTGTTTGAGTGCAATACAGCAGGACCTAAAAGATGTTTTGTGGTTTTGTGATGTGACTTTATGACAGCTCTCGATAACTCACGTAGTCATCGTTTTCACATGTAAGACTTTTGTGCTAGTGAGAAACCAAACACGTGTTTTGTGACACACAAGCCAAAAAAAAACAGTCAAGTCATCAGACAACATACACAACTTGTTCTGTAGACATTCTCAGCTTCCTTAAAAGTGGGAGTGAGAAACGCTATGTCTGCTGCTTCCAAAGCTTTAAAAAGACTCTTTCCAGTGACAATCTTTTTTTAAAATACCAGGTTCACATGTCCACATGGTGCTTTTTTATATGCCAAAAGACATAGCATGAGCGACGGAAGCAGTCAACGCCACAGCTTACTGTTTTCACCACTCAATCTCTCAAAAACACAAACTTCAGGGGTTTCATATCGAACACACCTGAGGAACCAGGTCTCAATATTCTGCTTAAGTGTGCAGTTCAGATACGTGTGGCTGAACTACTCCAGTGCTACAGCTTGCCTTGTGTGGGCATCAGTAGCTTTACAGTGTGTGAGCGGAGCTGCAGGTGAGCTGGTGTGCTGGAGCTGCAGCGAGTGCCGAGTCGGGGGATGTGTGGACTGTTTAGTTATGTCAGAGATTGGGGGTTATTTTCAAGAGAAAATAGGCCTCTAAGTGTGCAACTCTGATAACTAGAGGTGAGCTTCTAANTAATAATAATAATAATAATAATAATGATCATAATCTTTATTTATAGAACACTTTTTAATGATAGGCTGCTCATTTTCAGTGTGTACAAGCAAACAGCCTCACTTCCAGCTGCTTAGAAATTACCAAGGGCGTTCCACAGGGTTCGGTTCTAGAACCACTCCTCTTTATCATAAATAACATTACTGATAATGTTTCCAATGCCAATTTTTATTTTAATGCAGATGATACTGTGATATACGCCTCAGCATCCACACCAGAACTGGCTCTATCCCAGCTGCAAACTGCTTTTAATATTGTCCAGTCAAATTTCTATGTCCTAAAACTTGTTTTAAACCACAGAACCTGCCTGCAATCACCTCTTCTCAGGGAGTACAGATTGAAATAGTGTCTCAGTACAGATACCTCGATGGCTGTCTCTCCTTCACACCTCACATCCAGCAGTTGGCAAAGAGACTAACATTGAAACTGGGTTTTTACTTTAGAATCAAGTCTTGCCTGTAATTTGAGGCCAAAAACAGACTTGTTGCTGCCACTTTTATGTGTGTTGCGGTATATATGAATGCTTCCGCTTAAAGCCTGAGTGTTTTAGATTCAGTTTATCACAGCGTTTTAAGGTTTATCACCAATTTTAAGTCTCTTACTCATCATTGTTTGTTGTATTCTCGTGTTGGATGGTCAGATTTGACCACACGAAGGAAAAAACACTGGCATGTTTTAATTTGTAAATGTATTTTAGGCTTGCTTCCTCGTTGATTACAGGTTTTTATTTGTACAAAAGCTCCAAGTGGTTACAGTCTGTGGTCCCAGGATCTACTGCTGCTGTCTGTTTTTAAACTCGCTGATCCCTCCACCTGGAACACATTGCAAAAAGACCTGAAACTGCAAGAGCTGGTTTCTTTAAATACTTTTAAAGCATTTATAAGTGACTTGGAGGCAGAAACATCAGTCTGTAGATGTAGATGTTTAGACAGATGATTATTTTGCTAGTTATGTTTCTGATCTCTGCTGATATGTTGATTTCTTATCTTCTAAATGTAATCTCACCGTGTATTATGATGTCTGGTTGGATGCTGTTGTGACCTCGTCTGTCTGTCTGTTGTGCTGCTTCCGGTCTTGGCCAGGACACTGTTGAAAAAGAGATTTGAATCCTAATGAGCCTTTTCCTGGTTAAATAAAGGTTTATCTATTTTAGATGATTACGCTTGCTGAGCTTAGTATTGCAACTTGATATTTAGGTTTTCAGTCTGAAATAGGGTGGCATTTGAATTTTAATGGATATAAGTAAGTGGTATGGGTCAAGGTCAGACATGTTTCCATTTTTGATTTGATTCTTGAAATCTAGATTTAAAGGACCAACAACAGAAAACATACAGAGCCTACAACAACACCTAGATATTACTGTAGAAGTCAACGGCAAAGTTTGTATTCTGACAACGTCCATAAAACCCTCATGAAGATGTTAGAATCTAATCGTCTGTCCAACAAACGTTATCTGTCTGCTGCTATGACCACCGACAGTATTTGCTGCAGGACCTGCCGGGTTAATCATCAGCTGCAATCTTTAAGCTGTTATTGAATACTTTGCTCACTGAATGTTTCTGAATGTTCACAACATCTTCTGTCCACTAGTACTGCTGGACCTAATAGCAAAGAATGGATTCACACCCAGACAAGGTGGCCACCCAGACGCCAGCGGGGTATCGGGGCCTCGACAGCGGCAGAACACCAGTGAAGATACCAGACCCGAAGAAAAACCTTCTGACACCTCAAAACCCTACACGGCAGACCAGCTCGAGTCTGTCAGAAGGTATACGTGACGTTTTATTGGCGTATTTTCAGTGTGGTGGTCCGACGTTCCTAATCGTGTGTTTTCTACGCAGGGTAAAACAGTGTAAAGACTTCTATGAAATCCTTGGGGTCCAGAAAGACGCCTCTGAGGATGAACTCAAAAGATCGTATAGAAAACTTGCTTTGAAATTCCATCCGGACAAGAATCACGCTCCGGGTGCAACGGAGGCGTTTAAAGGTAACCTGCAGAAAAACCTCAGTTAGAAGCTGTATTTTATTCTATCGCTGTGATTCCTGAACATAATTTGACTTCACATGTGCTCATTTCCAACAGCCATTGGCAACGCGTACGCTGTTCTGAGTAACGTTAACAAAAGACGACAGTATGATCAGTGTGGGGATGAAAGAAGGCATCCGTCCAGACACAGCCCAGGCAACGGGAACTTTGAGCCAGACATCTCCCCTGAGGACCTCTTTAATATGTTCTTCGGAGGCGGTTACCCGTCAAGTTAGTGTCACTGGTTTGTCTTTTTCCTATACGGGATACAGAATACAGTGTGATGCATCTATGAAGTGCTAAATGTGCTGATTAATGCAGGTAATGCTCACGTATACACGAATGGACGGATGCGTTACCAAAGGCGAGAGAGAAGAGAGAGACAGCGGGATGTAAGTTTCATACCATCAGAGTTTAAATGTTCAAATGATGTAGTTTGATGTGCTAACCAGCAGGGGGAGACTTTTAGTCATCAATCAGCAATATTCAAGTGTCTTTGTTGTGTCTAAGCACGTCTGATGTGTTCTCTTGCAGGGAGGTCTTGCTCTCTTTGTACAGGTTATGCCCATCCTCATCCTGGTCATCGTGTCGGCTCTCAGTCAGATAATGGTCAACAACCCGTCCTACAGCCTCAGCTTCAGGCCGTGAGTGTTTGACCCCCGTCCTGGAAGTCCGCTTAAGAAGGATATTAAAGAACACAACTAACCTTGTTCTGCAAAACTGCAAAGGACTTAAGATTATCTTCATATTACATACAGTTCAGCAGGATTGAACCGGAGTTTATGTCACGACTCTTATGTGTTCTGCTTTCATAAGCTAGAGGGAAAAGAACCAGCTTTGCTTTCACAGTGTTCACAGTGATGTCACCTCCTTAGACAGGCTCCCTGTATTGAAATTTCACTTTCTTGTTTGATTTAGAAAGAACATGTTGATGCTGCCTCAGTTGGTTCTAAATAATCCCAGAACCCTTCAGTGTTTGCTGGCTCCGCATGTCTGGCTGCTCTCCACGTTAGCTGCCTTTTGTGGTTCAGATCTTTAGCTTGTGGCCCGTCTGTGAGCCATTATCAGCCGCCAGTCACTTTAACAGAGACAGACGGTGCCAGGTCTGTCTTACGATATCTCTCCCACACTTGGTTCTGTCTTCACGACAGGTCAGCAGGTTACTCGCAGAAGAGGCTGACCGAGAACCTGAAGGTGCCGTATTATGTCGGGGAGCAGTTCTCCAAAGAGTTCACCGGCGTAAATTTGAAAAACTTGGAGCAGACGGTGGAGGACGATTATATTTCCAACCTTCGCAATAACTGCTGGAAGGAGAAACAACAGAGTACGTTCTCCGGGAAAACGCTTTTTTTTTTTTGTTGAGATTTTGGTTTCCCCTCACGTTTCTCTCATTGCTTTGTTTCTGTGGTTTCTTGCAGAGGAAGGCATGTTATACAGAGCTCGCTATTTTGGAGACACCGATCTGTACCAAAGAGC